CAATTTCAAAACAAAGAAAATGAGCTCCGGTGAGATAAAATCGATCCAGTCATTTTTTTCGAAATTTGAAAAAAAGTGGTACGTAGGACCGTTTTAAAAATCTATAACTCGCATTTATTTAAATATTAAGACTTAAAAGTTGAATACAAGGTATATCTTGTGTCCCTTAACATCCACACCAAATGGTATTGTACTCGTAAAGAGTTACTCTACAATCTACCAGAACGCCGTTCCGTTTGGCTTTTTAGAAGTACGCGAAAAATCAATGTAAAAAAACAGCTATTTTCCGTGGATGCGGCGAGCCACCACCGTAAGGCATGCCCCTTCTCCGCATCATAGCTCTGAGGTTTACAAGCGGCTCGCCGCGTTGCCGCATCTACAGAGAATAGCTGTTTTTCACTTCCATTTTTCGCGTACTTATGAAATGCCAAACGGAAAGATGTTTTGGTAGGTTGTAGAGTAACTTTCCATGACTACAATGCCGTTTGAAAAATGGCAATATGTTGAAAAACCAGCCACGTCCAACTTTTTTGCGGAGGGACCATTATTTGCTTCTTGCAGTGGTTTGCAAAAAGTTAAGAATCGATCGTCTTGAAATTTGGTGTGGATGTTTAGGGACACAAGATATACCTTAGTATTCAAATTTTTAGTCTTAATATTCAAAGGAACGTGAGTTACAGATTCAAAAAAAAACGGTCCTACGTAGCATTTTTTTGCAAATTGCGAAAAAACGGCTGGATCGATTTTACCCACTGGAGCTCATTTTCTTCATTTTGAAATTGCGCATTTTTTTTACCCGTATAACTTTTTTGTCTGACTCTCTAGTTTTTTTCTAGCCGCGAAATACCGTTTTTGGCCACTATTACCATTTTTTTGGGACGTTAGCTGACACAATTTGGAGTCTAAAACTATTTAGATTTGTTCCGAAACCGCTTAACTACCACCCAGATTTTTTTGCGTTAGAAGCAATTTTTTAAAAATAATTATGTTTTTTTACTAATTCTATTCTACTAAAATGGACAACTATCACAGTCATTGTTATGTGGGTGGGGTGTACCACAAGGCAGCATGCTAGGTCCTATGCTCTTTTCATTTTTTTTTTTTAATGATTTGCCTGAAGTTTGCATGGTATAGAGTACGCATCAATATGCTAATGATTTCTGCGTATACGTGTCTGGTAGTGCTAATAATACTTATCTTATTGTGGATCGTGTTAATAATGTTCTTTGTGTTCTCTCTTTTTGGAAAACGGATAATGGATTAGTGAATAATCGGAAAAAGTGAGAGCGCTTGATAGTGAGCTGAACCCGAAGGCTCACTGTATATCTGTGTCAGCCAGATGGTTTGGACCTTGTCCTGTCTCATGAGATGTGGTGACTGTTTGCCTAAAAGCACACGTCTGCTCCTGGTGAAGTCTCTTATTTTCCCGCATCTGGAATACTGTGCTATTTTTTTACTAGATCTAGTCCTCTTGATGTCACTGTCCCGAGGGATCGCACTGAGGTTCAAAAGCAGTTTTACTATCGTGGCTTCTTGGCTGTGGAATATGCGATTTCTTCGAGTAATCGCTAGGAAGCTACTTTGCCGTCTATAGAAACCGTCTCTTAGATCATATGAAATCTATTGACCCACGTCTCAGGTAGATTGTTACGGGCTTCGGTGATGTGGCTGTATAAATTAGGCTTCGCCATGGATATATGCTTTATAGTAAAATTTATTCAATGATATTAAAATTCGTTATTTACTTATTATTTTTATTATATTTTAATTCAACTTTAATTTGTTATTACTTTTGTGTTTGATACTTTTTGAATTTTCTTGAACTTTCCAATTTTAAATACTGCTAGAATATAAATTTAGATTCTTGTAAGTGAGCCTACATGCTCACTAATTTTGCCTAGTACCTAGAAATTTTATACAGTTATAGATATCATAGACCCTGAGTCTTTGACTTCAATAAATCTAATATAATCGCATCTCTCTGTCTCTCACCTACTTTTAATACACTATCCGGCTTAATTGTCTAAAGACTGAGGGGATAAAAACGAATCACTTTGGCCACTGGCTCGTCCCGCCCACTATGTATCACCGCCCAGTCTCCCACTAGCTCAGAAGACGACTTGTATTCCAGCAGAGATATTAATTACATCAGGCCTAAAGCCATGAGTATACTTTCCTCGTCTTTGCTTGGTCCTTGCAGCTAACTCCTATCAGCTATGAAAATCCAGCAGCTTTCCTCTCACAGTGTAAAACCTACTTTAAAGCACATGACACTATAAGTACCCAGCAGGCTTTAATAGCAACAAAAAGACTGCATAGCGAAGAAGTAGTGGCTGACGTGCAATTATCTGTCCTTTCGCTTTGAACAGTTGAAACATTTATTAAGTGCATGACAGTTTGGCCACACAGAGAAAGTTACACCTAGAGCTCTGCTCTAAGCACCAAAGTGAGAAGAAATCTGTTGCTGCATTTCTTTAAGATTAGTACTTTTTGTTTGAAAAAGTCAGAGCAGCTGCTAAAGAGAACGTAATATCAGTCGCTGTTCTCTGATTTCTTTACTAAAAAACATACACAACTAAATCGATTGCACAAAAACAATTATAGATAGTAAAAATCACATTCATGGAGATAAAAATGATACTTAAATTAAACCCTCTGTCCCAATTAAATAATAATTTTGACATACATGATCCACACATAGAAAAAAAAGTGTCAAAAGTTAACAATTTTTTAGATTAAGCTACTTTCATTCTGAGGTTTAAAATTTTTTTTTAAGCGTACCTCAAAGGTCAAGAACTAAGTCAATTGGGAGGGTGGAATAGAAAAATTTACCGTTAAATATGTTTCTAGTTAAAAATAAAAAATACTTAACGCAATAAAACCCACAGATTTGTTTTATATTGTTTTATGCATACATACTAATTATTATCCATCCATGAGTAATTTATGTGTGTTCTTGTTTGATAAAGCTTTTAGTGTTTTCTAGCTAAATTTTGCTCAACTCCGTTGGCTGGAAAGATAAAATGAGCCATTCGCTGTATGAGCCGTCAAGCGTATAACAGTCACTATCCCTCGTTTGATTCTTTATATTGGTTTAATGGGATTATTCCCTTGAAACTGAACTAGACTACTGAAATATTAACCAGTATTGTGAATTCTTAGATTGTCCAGTAGTTTATTTCAATTTTCCACCATCTGTAATTACCATAATTTTTGCAAGTATAACCCTGACAGCAAAATAAAGAACTCAGTGCTCTGCTATGTCTAACAAACATCGTTTGAAATTTTAACTACTTTTTCGTATATACACAATAAACTAAACTTTAAAAATAACATGCTATTATTATTTTGTTACGTGGGAATGATATCGGTGAGGAGGTGCGTCGCAGAATTGACCAACACTGATTAAATCAAGAGCTTTATTCAAGATACCGAAATTAAAGGCAAAGTAGCGCGTCTGCTTGATCTGTCCGATCTCCTTGGTTCGCCTGACCCCCTTGAACTGCCTGAGTCGTGGGTTGTCCGACTGCTGCCCGAGAGCTGTGATTAGAGGCTCTCTGGGCCTTATATAACCTCCTCCCCCTCCTGTCGATGGTCTCTTGCTGGAATCGTCTCACTGTTGCCAAGAGGGGTCAGTATGATATGCCCTACATATCGGTTCCACCATTATTTAAAAAAACTTCTAAAATCTAAGGAGTATCTTCCGTATATTTCTTGTACTTGAAGCAAATTCATCTTTATTCAAGGTAGATTAATAATCTGTCGCCACAAACAAATCAAACTTTTCTTAGATTTGATATATGTTATTCATAACAATTTTTTATGCCATCAAAAATATTTTGAATGTAACGTATCAGTACTATTTTTTAAGATATTTGAGCTTAAAATATGTTTTTTAACGTGGACTGTTATAATATTTTAAATTATGATGCGTTGGACGGAGTAAAAATCAGTTAATTGATAAATATTTTCTCCATTATAAAAGCATACATCCATAACCTATAAGACTGTAGTAAAACGGTTATGATGCACTTCAATCGCTCGACTAATTCAGTCCACAGATTTTCTACCTTGAATGGGGTTTAAAAATAATATCATATCCTACATCAATCTTTGGGCGGTTATCACCAAGTTACATTTAACTTGACTATACTTGTAGAATAATTAATTAATTAGGCTTAAAAAATTTACGGATACTCTTCAGTTTGTCTAACGTCTTGCAGTTTTGGAAAAAGTTAAACTAAGTACGATTAAGTAAAAGCGTATTCTTTGTAAAAAGAAAAAAAACGGTTAATTGAGAAGTTACGTCACAAATGATTCACATTATTGAAGCAAAAGTAATTCAGAACAGATTATAAATCTAGGGCCTCAAGGTAGCTGCAGATTTTTTTGAGTTATCAACGACTTTGTAAAAAACAATAACTTAAAATACGTGCTGCGCTGCTGCAATACTCCTGTAATAGTTTTTCTCAATTGCTTTAATTTTTCCTGTCAATATTTTGTTTTGGAATTTGGAGCATAATTTTAAAAAGTTAATGCATAATATATCACTAAAAAAATTTATAATTTTTGGGAATAATTTCATAAAAAAATTTTATAACAAAATTTTTTCAGTTGAAGTTTCAACTTAACGGTTGAAATTTTTTCTGCAAAAAAAATGAAATTGAGCAACTTTTCGTAAAACTGTACTAAACTAGACAGTACAAGAAATGTCTGTAAATTTTTTTAGCCTCATCTCTTAAGTATTTTCTGAAAACTATCAAATTAAATGAAAGTCGATAACCAGTGCCCATAATAGGTACTATTTCACTCTAGAGCCCTCTTAATTTATGTTTAGTAAGACTTTTTATACTTTCTTATAAATAAGTATGGTTAAATTATTTTAAGAAATAATTAATTTAAGTTTACCTCTAACTACAAAATTTAGATTAACTTATTTTTGTAGTACAATACAGCTTATTCCACTTAATTATTTACATCTATTTATTTTCTTCATGTAGGAATTATGGTCAATAATCCATGTGCTCTTGCTATACATGAAGCTAAACAACTATGGCCCAATAGACCAATACAGTGTGTAATCTCTTTTGGTACTGGAAGAATTCCATATATTTCTGGTGTTTGTAAAAAAGAAAAAAGAGAAGCTACAACATCTAGTTGGAAAGAAAAGTTTTATAAGATTCTTGACAGTGCAACAGATACAGAATGTGCGTAGAAATTTTCACATTATTTTTGGTATAATCAATAAATAGATTTTTTTAAATTAGTTGGCGTTTTACTGTTTTTAGCTGTGCACATAATGCTGAATGATTTACTTCCAGACAACGTATATTTCCGATTCAATCCATATTTAACTGAAATGCTTACCATGGTAGAAATACGGCCAGAAAAAATTTCTCAACTGGAGCAAGATGCTGCTATGTACATTCGTAGAAACGAAGAAAAATTTCAACAGGCAGCAAAAGTACTTTTGTTAAAGAAGACATCCATACAAAAGATTATTGATTGGTTTAAGTTGCAAAAACATATTTTTGGCATTTAAGTAAATCTTCTAAAATTATTTGCCTCCAAAACTTATGACGTTCTAAAAAAACCAACAGACTTACAGAGGTTTGATAATTGAGTTAAAAGCTAATACTGTATAACTACCTAAATAATTAAGGAGCGGCGTTGGCTCAGTGGTAAGTGTGCTTGTTACTGATACAACGCAGCTCTAGGGGTCGTGGGTTCGATTCCCGGTGAATGCAGATTTTTTCAAAAACTGTTTTCATCGGAAAAAGTTCCTATGTAACCCCGGCAGTTTCGGGGCGGATTTTTCCGTAGAATTTTCCTCCAGAGTAATTCCAGGTTTTTTCCTTGCCCACAAGTTTTCGGGCCTGGGTAAATGCAAAACAGTGTTAGGGCTATAGGTAGGGATTAGTGGACCCGATGCCAGGCGTCGGGCAGGGATCGCCGGCCTTACCGGCGAGGAGTGGCCCCTGAAACACGGGGCTTCTACGGGGATGCTAATTAGCCTGGATCCGATGCTGCGGCAGAGAGCGCCGGCTTAACCGGCGAGGAGTGGACGTCCTGGAATAATGGAGTCTTCTCCGGGGAAAGGCTACACAGTGGTGAGTGGACCCGATGCACCATCGATGCAGAGAGTGTCAGCTTAACTGGCAAGGTGTTCCACCGGAGATACTGACACTGTGCCCATGGATTCAGGTAGGAGGCGAGGAAAAAGGTTTAGAGATGAGTGTGGTAATACACCCACACACATAGGTGGTGAGTGGGTGGCCCCCGCGACTAGGCCAAGTAGGCTGTCGTGGTAACCCGGTATGAAAAGAAAAAAAACTACCTAAATAATTAAAAACAATTTGTAATAATACTTGTGTGTGCATAAAGTTATAAAAACTCACAAGGCATTCCTCTGAAAATTTAAGTAGCTTAAATGCACTGTAATTGTTCGGAAATTTAGGAAAAATAGTTCCAACACATGGTATCAAAAAACTATTTGGCGCTGAAAAAACGTACTGAACAGTTAAATCTTTATTTATCAAAACTACCCAGTACGTCGTAGGATATTTTAAAATAAAAGTTGCATGTGGTTTTTCATTATTATGTTTTATAAAATTGTTTTTTTTTCAATCAGTGTAAATGGGGAGTTCGCCCCGATACATAAGAGTAATTTTTTATAAAGGAATCGT